ATGCCTAGAACTCAAGGTTCTCTCGAATTGTCAGATTTTGTTAGAGGAAGGAAAGTTGGTCAAGCAGATGGTGGAATAAGTCAGCGGCAAATTACGCAGAATTTGGGAATCCCGCTTTCGACAGTCAACAGAATCATCGTGCAGTTCAGGAAACACGGCAAGGAAACAACTGAGCAGCATCCGGGTCATCCTGGTCCATCGGGGAGGACTAAAAGGGCTGTCAAGAGGAGCATCGAAATGGATCGCAGATTAACGACTGCAGAAGTGGCCAAAGTTGGTGGGATGAGCCCGAAATCTGTTCAACGGATTCTCCACAGATTGAGTTATCATTTCAGAGCAGCTAGACGGAAGCCCTTATTAAGACCTGCCAACATAGTCAGACGAAAGAAGTGGGCAAGTGATATGATGACCTGACATAAGCCCCATCGAAAACCTCTGGGCCATACTCGACCTGCAAGTCAAGAAACAACAACAAAAAGAAAAACAACTTCAAAGAGCAATCTACTCCAAGTTTTGAAGCAAGAGTGGGCGAAAATCCCACAATCTAAAATTGACGAGATGATTCTCACGATGCCCCAAAGAATCAACGTACTCCACGAAGCGAAAGGAAGATCTACTAGATATTAATTAAATTATAAATATATCAATTCATGTGAATATGACTGAAAAATATCATTTTTTCTGAAAAGGTGGTGTCTATTTACCTGTGACCACGCTTTGTACTATTTTAAAATAAGTGGATTATGTACTGCCTGATTATTGTTGACATTTATCACCAACGAGTCACAGACACCTACTTAACAGAATTTAGCCTCCATAAAACTGACATTTGTCGAGACAGCCAGGATTATACAGTGGTAAATGGCAGTGAAAGAAGACGTGAATGACAGCTGGAACAAGTATGCCTATATACGCACAGCTGTAGTGGTGGTGAAAATATGGAAGTTTGAAACCATGGCAACAGATTTTGATAAATGGATAGAAAGAGGTGAGCACATTAGGCTCACAGTTGGGGAACTATGAGAATTTGTTAAACAACAACAAAAACTAGAGAGAAGAACGTAGGCAGAGAAAAAAGAAACATAGACTAAGGAAAAGGAGAGAGAGAGGAAAGACTGCAAATAGAGAGAATAAGAGCACAAATTGAAAAAAAAAGAAAAGGAGAGAGAAGAGAGACTAGAAATAGAGAGAGAATAAGAGCAAAAATTGAGATTGCCAAGCTCACCCAACAGAAAGAAGGACCCAAGAATGACAATGGTGTCAGGGCCACCCAACCCGCCCAAGTTTGATGAATAGAAAGATGACATGGATGCTTTCCCAGAGAGATATGAAAGATTTGCCCAAAGTCAAAACTGAGACAAAGGTGACCGGGCAGTCTGTCTTAGCCCTCTTCTCACAAGAAAAGGCCTGTAAGTATATGCAGGCATGATGTCAGAAGATGCCATAGACCATGACAAGTTAAAAGTGGCCTTGCTGAAACACTATCAAATTATCAAAAAAAGATTTTGTCAGAAGTTGAGAGAAGTCAAACCTAACACTGGAGGAACTGCATTTCAGTTTGTGACACATCTACGGCGATACTTCACAAGATGGACTGACATGGTCAAGTGTGAAAATAGTTCTGAGGGACTGACAGATTTACTAATACGTGAACAGTGTAACAATGTAACAAATTTTTATATGTACATTTGACTTGTTTTGAATATATTATTTTAAAACAAGTGGATTGTGTGCTGTCCATTTATTATTGACATTTATCACCAACAAGTCACAGACACCTACTGTAAAGAATCTTGGTCCTGTAAAAATTTGACAAGAATATTCTGAATACTTTGACTTTTTGAAAGAAAGAGACTGAACATAATGTAAAACACAATAAAACAATCTTTATGCACATTCAGAAACACAATAAAAATGTGTGTGTATTGGATAAAGGACAGCACTTTTATTAGATAGTTAACTCTAAACTCTTCAAACAACTTATTAAGAATTAATTAATATTACAGGTATAACTTTAGAACAATAATGCTATTTGCAGATAGTTAAACTTCACTTACCAAATTAATGGCTTGAGCTTGAGATAGAGCTACTAAGAGATTGTAGTATTGTATACCAAATTCTATAATACTGTCCCTTTCCAGGTGTTAGCACCACCTATGTCACTGTTGGGCAATCACTTTGAAACATAAAAAAAGTTTGTATCCTTGAGATATCACTTGATCTACAATTGGAGGTCACTGCTGTTAACATCCATGCACGAGATGCAGCTCTATAGTCATATCCCCTCAAGGGCAGACCAGGTGTTATCTCAAGAGAATGATAAAGGTTGCTAGAGTGAAAGCAACTTAACCACTTTCTTGACCATATGTTATATGAAAACTGCACGTACACAGAATAAATGACAAATTTTGAACTATTCAATATTAAAATAAGATGGTAGAAAGTAAATAGTACGCTTTTGTATCACAAATTTTCTCCTGTATTACAAACCATTGGGAACTGCTTATTAGAGTCCTTACATATAACAGGTTATAACCACTATAGCATAGAGTTTATGGAAAATTAACAAACTTGAACATTGCAGTACTATGTAATTTTAAATAAAGCCCTTCACATTTAAAGTAAATCTTTAATAATATAAAAACTATATAAAGTAAGGTATTTAGTTCTTTTTGCATAAGAAACGTGAGACATCATTCAAGTTACACAGAGTTTTTTTTTTCATTAACATGTAATAAACTTACAGATGTTCTTGTATAAACTGGCTTGAGCCTTATCACACCAATGTGTTCAGTATGTTTAACTAGATACATTAGGCAGTCTCGCTAGTTGCTTTTATGTAGCATGTAGTCTTTTAATGTAGGTAAGCATGAATTTGAAGAATTGATCTAGTGAGAAATGTAAATATGGGGAAACTAAGAACTCGACTATTTGAATAGTTTATTGAAAACTGCTAGTGATTTGAAATGTTGAAAATGTAAACTTTGTTTTCCAGTATTATAAATCTTAATCTGAAGATTTTTATTCAAAAAATTTTTTGCTGTATTTTGAGGTGTAAGAACGTCAATGCCTGCTTTTTTCGAAAGAATGAAGAACAGACTACGTACAGCAGAGGAAGGAGCTGATACTGCTGTTTGGCTTGCAGTTTCTCATGCTGCCTTAAAGCATGCTAGTGGAATGTTCTACCAAGGTTTGCTGTTATATTGTTTTTTTATATGACTTCACTTTTAATGGCATTAAATGTTTTATTATGTTAGTTTTTAATTTTTGAAATATAAAGAAACTTCAACTACTACATTTGTCTAAAGAACGGGAAACATTGTTCTGTCAAAAGCAGAGAAGCAATATTTCCTGTTTATTTTTATAATACATGTTGGTTTAAATAATGTTTTTTGTAAAAAAAAGTTATTTGTTATTTCTATAGTTTCTTATACTTTTCTGTATATGTGTGTTTGTGTATTCATGTCATTGAAAGACTTCCATGTCTATTGTTGTGTTAGCTCAATGCTATAAAAACAACCTTGAATCCAAGTTGAACATATACTATAAATGTACAGATAATCAAATAATTGTATAATGAAAACCATGAAGGAGGTATAAATATGCAAGTCTTGTCCTTGCAGTAAACAGTTTGAAATAATGGCTTCTGAAGAACTTTGGCATTATTATTTTTTACTTCTGATACTTTATGATAAACGTATTTCTGTATGCATTAGATCGCAAGCCTGTGTCAACGCATCTTCCTCTTGCCTGGACGAAAGCTTCTGCAGCAGAAGAAGACATATTAATGAATACTTTGGATGAAATGATGGAACAATTTAAGTGTTAGATAGAAAGCTTTTATCTCTGTAGTGATATCCATTTTCTTTTAACAATAATTCAGCATTACATTTAAGATCTTTGTTTTCTGATACTTGTTAGTTGTGTACTTAATTGCATTTTAAACCTGATATGTTTTTGAGTATGAAAGTACAGTTAATGGGTAGAAGGTTAAACATCATGATAATTTTTTTAAGTTCAAAAATGGGTCAGTAAAATGTCCCTGATTATAGTGAAACCAAAATACTAAACTTTACTGTTACAAAAAAAGTTTTGTTACCATGTAAGTCTTTAAATGATTTTTGTTTGTCAATTGTTTTTGATAAAAATAGGATCACTACTTGTGAATATATATATTTAGAAGATGAGTTTGTTATCTGTAATTAGTTTTCGAACAAATAAATTATATATGACTACATTATTTGTAATTATAACAAGATGTAAATAACCACTCCCTGTTACAAAATACATTTAATGTTATATATCTTACTTAAAATTCGTGATGAGATTTTTCTTGTTAAATACAGTGTTTTTATAAATTAATTTTCAATACTGAAATCTTCAGCTTGTAAGTGATGCATTTTGTAATTGAATTGGAAACTGTTTTTGATCCAACATGTAAAAAAATGAAAATAACAAGCAACAAGACCTCAACTAATGATTAATACGATGTACTATATTCAAGTCTTGGGACAAGATATGTGTAATTTTAATTTACATCAGTGTGTGTGGTAGTTTATGTAGCTATAATCTTGTAGAGCTTTTCTAATGTAATACTGTTTCCAGATTGTAATTTACCATAAGAATGATAATAGCTTAGTTTCAAGATAAATGTAGTGTTAATTTTCTTATCTAAAAGCTTAATGTGATAAATGTTTTCTTGGTTATTTTGTAGATCTAATGTTATTAAAACCATAGAGAAATATAATTGTATTTTGTAAACACTAAACAGTGCTATCAATTCTACAAGATCATAATTTTCAAGACGTAAATTTATTTTGTGCTTCAGTTTTAGTGCTGAGAACTAATTTTGTAAGGCAAATAGTATAGAAATTGTTTTCATCGTACCGTAAAATATTAACTATACATCAAAACATTTGTTGATATCTAACTGTACTGCCACTAAGAACTGTTTGTCTTGTGCAATTTGAAATCTTATCAGCTATATATGTATATGTATGTATGTAATGTGGTGGTCGTTAGAAAGGAATGTTAATAATACAAGTCCGTGCTTTAAATATGAAAATGGTAAGTATATTGGATTTGTAACATTTTCAGTATTAATATAAGTCTGTGCTTTAAATATGAAAATGGTAGATATCACTGCTCTGTTCTGTAAGATGGAATTTTATCTTGAATATCAAGCTTGGTACTTGTTAAAGAGACAGGGAAGCCAGGTTTGGAACTTGCATAATTTTGTATAACCTTTTCCAAATGTTCAACATCAAATCAACAGATATCTGACTAGGTTACCCTCAAAACAGTGTGCCTTTACTTTTTTCTACTAATATTCATATTTGTAATTGTTTACAAGAACTGTTTTATACTGTACCAAATTCTTTAATTTTGTTAACTCATATTTCTTTTGACAAGAATTTGTGAAGGTAATATAATGTGAATTTGTAAGATATCTTTTCATAAATGTGAAGTTTATTTCAATAAACTGTTACAAACTTTAAATTTCTTAAACTTAATTTTCAAGTTTAAAATATATTCAAGACAATTCTACCTTCATTCTCATTTTGTAAAATGTTAATTGATGTTTACTAATGAACAATGTTGCATCAGCTTTAAAAATTACCACAAATATAAAATTTATGTAATGAATATATTTTCTTTGCCCTTTTTTTCCAATATATATATAAAAATATATTTTAATGTAAATTTTAAACCTTTATAATGAATAGGATATCTATTTCATTCCAGTACAAAATATATTAAAGTAATATAAGCACCCTATACTTAAAATTAGTTTTAAGATGAAGAATATAACAGCACAGACCTGTGATGGTTTTATTGTCTTGAAATTTGTACATGTTCTACAGTAATTCATGTATGTTTAATCTAAAAATGCTATCCATTTTTCTCCATCACATACAGATTTTTCACAAAATATCATATGTACTGTTGCGTATCTGCTTGTTTGTTAATTTCCGGTATAAAATCCTTCCGAGGAACTTCAACGATATAAGTCCTTTCTTAATTAAAACTAGTTTATTCTTTTTTGATAAACTTTATAATACATAGAATTTCCACAGTCAATACATTTGCAATCTCAATAACAAAACACACACTTTATATCACCGTCACTACCGCTCG